TGACGTGGCTCTAATCTGATTCAGGTTTGTTTGCGTGGGAATCTGATATGTTTAATCTGATTTCGCTCGTTGCGTGGCTTTCTGCTAAAATGAGGAAACACGGCTCACGTTTACAAACTTTGCAGGTGGAGTGCGACATGACATGATGCAAGAGGTGATGCTTTTGGTTCTTGACCTGTTCACACAGTCTGCTGTATGTGATCATGTGACTGCAACAAAGACACCAATGTAGATATAGAATGTAAAGAAGCTCATTTTGACTCAACCACGATTGATCTTGAACCATAGACCACAATAATTCAAGTCCCATGTCGAAACCATATAATGTGATTGACTTTATTTTTCCACTCGGGGAAATTTGTCTAGGACTCTAGAGTTTAAGCTTAGGTTAGCCTAGTTTACTACCCATTCTCATTCAGTTTCACTCTAAATGTCATTCTTTTATCCTGTCTCAGAAACAAATTCATTTTTTAAAATAGAGAAATCTGGTAAGATGAATAAACAGAGGGATGAAGAGATACTCCATCACAGCCTGACACAATAACAACACAATAATAATACACTCAAATACCAACTCTAGGATGAGCAATGCCCGCCTGTCACAGCGCTGTCACAATCTTGAGGCACCTTCCGGAGGGCTTTGGTCCTCCTGGGACACAAACTATGTGCTTGTTTTACCACCGAGATGTGTCATCACCTGGGGACCATCAGTCATAGATGCTTTACTCCTTTGACCTCAGCGCATTGCTTGGATGTGAGGCAATGACAGGGGTTTGCACAGCCACCCCCTGCTGATTCCCCAGGCACTGCTTGGCCTCCAACACGCCCTGTTTCTCATTAAGTGAGCCCAGAAGCTGCGTGTCTGCAGCTCCTCTCTTCTGACTTTGGCCTGTGATTCCAGCCTGATGAAGCAGTCGAGGTCATGACATTCTACTACAAATGTCCATCCAAGCTTCAACTGCTTGATTCTCTGTGTTGCAGCATCACTACATCGGAGCCACTCACGGATGAGACACAGCTGATCAGTCCTAAACCTAAACACACAATAACCATTTTGCACTATGTTCATCGTTCATCGAAAGCAGAATGATGAGTAAAATGAGAATAAATCTTCTACTCACAGAGCAGCGATTCCCCAGTGAGCTCCAGACTTTTTTCCTGCTTCGATGAACAGTGACAGGCCAATCAGGTTGATGGTGGGAGCGATGGCTAGTGGACCGATATATTTAAGCACGAAGCCCACGAGGCCTGAGAAGCCAATGACGATTTGTATGAGTGAAGACACCAATATCGCCCCCTGGATCTGTGGATGCGAGAGCAAGTCAGTCAGTTTGGACACAAAACATTCGAGGAAATTTAACGATCTCATATGAACGAAGAGATTTCATTGTTAGAAACATCATTTTGACCTTTCTCCATGCGGTGGCAGCATAGCTACCCTGAAAAACCCACACATGGGTTTATAATTCTAAACCTGCTGCTTTTAAAATCTCCCCCGCTGGGTCATTTTGGTCTTGTCAAAAAGATATTTATTTTAGAATACACACGAGAGCCATAAAACATCCCTTACCTTACCGAGGTGAGGTAACTGTATAATCAGACCTCTTTTTGAAACCTGCAGGTGCGGCTGACATGTATATTGCTGCGGTGAAAGATGATCTTGTGTAAAACCCTGCTGACGAGGAGGAGACATCTGGGGGAACATAATATCTGACGCGCTAAACTGAGTCCAACTTCGATTATACACTGTGTCCCAGTGATTCATATGTAAAAAACAAATATGTCCATTTCTGTCTGAGAACCGTACATTGGACCTCGATCAGTACGGTCTCATACCTGGACAAAGTACCAAAGTGATACGTTCTGTTCTTCAGTTCTCATTGAAACAAAGAGTCAGTAGAAAAGTAGAATTTCTCCTTTAACGATTTCTGTCAAACTTAATTTATTGGTTTTGACTCAAGGGCTGAAAGTTGTACTTCACCAGTAAAACTCCAGCAACATGAATACTTTTAATACCAGTCTTGTATATTCTATATTCTTGGGTCAGAAATACAGTATGCAGATGACACAGCACTATCTTCTGTTCCACTATGTTCATCTTTCGCTGTAAAAACCCTGACCAGAACCTCTGACCAGTTGACTGGCCAATCCCAACTCTGTCCAAGGTCAAGTGGATTAATGGAAGGAGGAATTTAGGGATTGATGATTGGTAGAAAGACGGAGTTGACTAAGTTCAGGCGGCAGCGCCTCTCACATGACTCCAACTGGACATACGTATATAGCTATTTGACTAAGGAGAAAGTTTAATATGATTTTACTCAAACTTTCATCACCTGGTGATATATCGCACGCAGTGCAAGAAACAACATGAACAAATGTGTGGCTGAAAAAAGCCTCAAACTTCTTGATGTGCTGTATCAGAAAGCAGGTGACAGATTTCAACACCGTTACATGTTGGTCTGGTCTTTGGGGTGACGTTCTAATTCATGTTGTCTGACGTGGCTCATAAATCCATCAACATTTCCTGTCAAACGAACTCCGTGCTCTGGAATAAACTGCTTTAGATTTGATCAGGTAAAGGAAGGTTTACCTTGAATGCTGTAGAAAACCTTTTATTTTTAATATTTGTGTTTGTAGAAAATGTAATCATTAATACATTCTTTAACAAATTGTAAGAAAATGACCTGGTCCACGGACGGACCAGGTCCAGAAGATGAGAAATCTTTGTACAATCAACACATTTCCTTCTGTCAGGGGTCTGGTGTCCACACACACACACACACACACACACACACATACCTGAACCTCCTGTTAAGGTTCATTTCTTGAGAATTCTCTGATCTGAACGTTCTACGTACCTCTCGCATCCGTGACATCCACAACTCGTCAGAATTTCCCGAGAGCTTTGGGCCGGTGTCGTTCTGAAACTGCGATGACGCCACTGCAGGTTCTGCCAGGTTCGGACACTGCCACTTCGGTAGAGCCAGGATTGCCAGGGTCGGCGTGATGAAACTGAAGGTCCCACCCTGGAGAATTGGTAACCTTGGAGGTTGGAACATGTCAGACGTCAATGAACCTAGGACTAAACACCAGGTGACCGTCTGAGACACCAGGTGACCGTCTGAGACACCAGGTGACCGTCTGAGACACCAGGTGGTGACCGTCTGAGACACCAGGTGA